CTGGCTGGCTGGCTGGCTGGCTGGCTGGCGCTTGTTTGCGAACAACGCTTTGAGAGAGAGAGAGGCAGAGCGCTGCGCTGTCGATTGCGCGCGCTGGAGCCACTCTTTGGCCTCTCAGGCGTCCTGCTGCTGCAAATGCACGAGCGCTGTGAAATTGTCAGAGGCGCGCCCTCCTCTTTTTTTGTCTCTCTTTTTTTACCCTGTCTCGGTGTCACCTGCGCATGTCCAACAGAGGGCTGGCACAGTGGTCAAGTGCCTCAACTCGAAAACAAGGACTAACATCAACTGCAGCCGCTAGGTGCAGCCAAGGTGCAATTTTGTATTTCCAGCCGCTCTTCTGCGCTTCATTTCGGATGCACTTTTTGTATTGATACGAATGCAGGTCTGTAATCAGTCAAAGGGATGCGACCCAGGGCGCAAAGATCCCCTTTGTGCTGCACCCGCACCTGGTCCTGCATCCAACCAACTTTGTGGCTCAGATTCGGGGGTGCACACCGGTCTGGACGTGCTGCATTGTATTGGCTCGACAGCGAGCGCGAGGGTTCTACTGGATGGATGTACAGGGAGGCGACACGCTGCGCAGGAAAGCATTGCGAACCGAACAGCAGCGTGGAGAAGAAGAGCCAAGCTGCGGCCGAAGCCGAAGGACTGCTTTGCTTCACCGCGGCGCAAGGTGGTGTTCGCTCTAACACACTCGACCTGCGCTTCACGCTCCAAATGCCTTCCTTACGCTCGGACCCTGGCTGGAGGATGCAGTGTGCGGTGCGCATCCCGTCTGCACGCATTGCCGTGGCCGTTCCTGCGGTTGGATGATGGCTTGCTCGTAGCCCTGCTTCATCTCGGTCCCCACGTCTTTCCACCGGCGCCGCCTCCGTTTGGACTCCCTCAATACCCTAGCCCGCCCGCCCGATCGACAGCTGCTCCAAGGCTCGACATTGCTCATTTCATCGCCTCATCGCATCGTTCATAGACGCTGTGGCAGGCGTTGCATCGCTCGGTCGAGGCTCGCTTTCAAGGTAGCACGCACCGCCTGGCAACCTTTCCATGGCGCCGTCGACGCCCGACTTTTTCCGCAAACGCACCACCAGCACCAACAGCATCGCCAGCATCTCGAGCGCCAAGCTGCGCAGCTCGCTCGCCTCCCTCCCCTCGAGATCTTCGCGCGATCGGCTCCAATCCGAGGAGCGCGCGACCCCGCCCCTTCCGAGTGGTGGTGCTGCTAGCAGACTTTCGGCTGCTCCCACCAGTGTCGCTGCCGTCGATCTATTCGGAGGTGCGCCGCTTTCCACCACGACCAGTCCCGTCGGCGCCCAGTCCGATCCCGACTTCGGATCTTCCTACGAAGGACCCGGCGCCTTCCACAACATCACATCGGATCGCTCCGCACAGCTCGTTCCGTCTCCAGCGCCCGCCCTGCCGACGAGACCCTCTTCGTCTGGCTCCTCTGCTGCTGCTGCAGCTCTTCCTCCTCCTCCTACCGCCTCCACACTCTCGAGAGTCGCGCAAATGAACTCGGCCTATCACGCGTCGAATGCGCAGGAGGGCGCATGGCTCGGTGGAGCCGTCGACCACTCGTCGCTGAGCCCGCACGGCCTCTCCCCCAATCCACTCGGAACCCACTTTGGCACCTCGCCGGGAAATCAGTCCGACATGTCCAACGAGGCGCAGTTCCACTCCAACGATGCCCTTTCGGACGTTTCTGGCTCCGGCTACGAGCATCCATCCGCCAACCACCTCTACTCGGACGCGCTCAACATGTCCGATCATGACCACATAGACAGCCGCACCGCCGACCCGCCTCAGCTCCACTACACCGCCTCCTCGGCGCTCGCAACACCAACCTTGGCCGACCAGGCTACCTACGATGACTCGCGCGGATACATGTCCAGCGCCGCCACCGCCGCCGCCTCCTCGACCGACATCGCATCCACCGCGCGCTTCAGCACCCAGAGTGCATCCACGGTGCCCGGCATCACTCCCTCCTCCACTTTGGTCGACTCCAGCATCCCTTCGAGCAATACGCCAAGCATGGCCAACAACGGTCCCACCATGGAAGACATTGTGCCCACCAGCTTCGACGAGGGCGTGCTGCGTTCGCTGTGCGACATCGACTGCGGCATGCCGCTGCTCTTCGATCGAATCAAGCAGAGCATGGTCTCCGCAAGGGAAGCGTCCGTCTTCCTCAAGAAGCGCGCCGTCATCGAAGACGAGTACGCGCGCAGCATGGCCAAGCTCGCGCGCTCCACCTTCGAAACCTACTCGCTCAGCGATGCCAAGGCGGGCTCGTTTGTCAAGTCGTGGCACTCGATGGTCAAGACGCACGAGACCATCGCCGACAACCGTCTGCGATTCTCGGTCAAGCTCAACGAGATGAGCGACGAGCTCGCCAACCTTGCCAAGGAGGTCGACAAGAGTCGCAAGCATGCGCGCGAGACGGGCCTGCGCCTCGAGAAGAACCTGCAGGATGCCGAGGCAGGAGTGGAAAAGGCGCGCGGCCGCTTCGACACGGCGGCCGAGGACCTCGAGCGTCTGCTTCTGCTCAAATCGGGCGAGTCGACAAAGTCGGGCGAGATCCAGGGCGGCTCCGGCGGCAGCGGCAGCAGCGGAAAGCGCACGCTCGGCAAGGCGATCGGCAAGAGCGGGTTGCTGTTCAAGAACAAGAATCCGCAACAGATCCTCAAGCAGGAGGAGGAGATCCGCGCCAGGACCAGCACCGCCAGCGACGCCTTCCGCAGAGAGGTGCTCAGCACCCAGGGCATCCGACAGGAGTACTTTAACCTCCAGCTGCCGCGCATCCTGCGTACGCTCAAGGAGAACGCAGAGGAGATCGACAATGGCACGCAGTACCACCTCTCGCGCTACGCTTTCCTCTACGAGAGCACTGTGCTCAACGACGGCATGGCCATCTCGCCCGTCGGCACGGACGTGACGCCCACCAGCGGCCTCAAGGGCGCGGTCGAGACGATCGACAACCGTGCCGACTTTAAGCAGTACATGGCCAACTACCAGGTGGCGCATGGACGCGACTACAAGGGTCCGCGCAGGGAAGGGCCGTACGAAGAGGGATTCCTCAACAACTCGGCCGCATCCAAGGGTGCCGCTGCCGGTGCTGCGAGAGCACCCGCGGTGTCGGAGCGTGCAATCTTTGGCGTGGACCTCGCCGAGCAGATGGCTCGGGACAGTGTCGAGATCCCGCCGATCCTGGAAAAGTGCGCCCAGGCGATCGAGGAAGTCGGCATCGAGAACATGGGCATCTACCGCCTCTCGGGCACCACGTCCAAGGTGCAAAAGCTCAAGGCCAAGTTTGATGCCGACTGGGCGGGTGTGGATCTGATGAACGACGAGGCGATTCAGGACATCAATATCGTGGCTGGCTGTCTCAAGTTGTGGTTCCGCGAGCTGCCGGAACCGCTGCTGACACACGAGCTCTACGCGGGCTTCATCGAGGCGGCCAAGATCGACAATGACCGCTTGAGGCATATTCGGTTGCATGAGCGCGTCAACGAGTTGCCCGACGCCAACTACGCCACGCTCAAGTACCTCATGGGCCATCTGGACAAGGTCAAGTCGCTCGAACATCTCAACCAGATGTCGGCCAGCAATCTGGCTATTGTGTTTGGACCTACGCTCTTGTCGCCCCCGCCCGCAGGCTACGATGATGGCACGGCCCAGAACGGCGCAGGTGGCATCCAGATTCACGACATGAGCTTCCAGTGCCGCGCCGTAGAGACCATCCTCGACAAGTACCGCGAGATCTTTGTCGACGAGGGCGAAGAGTAGATCAACCCTCCTCTCCATCCCCAACATCAAATTTCACCTTGCCCACTCCCATTTCCCCTTCACGCTCTTTGGACACGCTCCACTCGAATCGGCCTCGTTGTTGTACAACTCTTTCGCTTTCGTTTTGCTATACTAGCCCGCCTCTGCCTATCCTTCCCGCCGCGCGCTTACATCCTTCTGACGCTCATACGCCTGCTCACACTACCACACACCTGGCCACGATCCACGCAAGCAAGACAAGAACGAACGGATGTGGGGACGTTGATTATACAAGTGAGGCGGGATGATTACGGTATTACAGCGCTATGCCAGTTGAGAAGAAATGCGCACAGAGCACAAGACACAAAATAGGTGGGGCCAACGAGCCACCACGAAGTCTACGTGCGCACGCTAGCTAGTTGCGGGCAGGCATGCCGAGGGCAGCGGCGAGTTCCAAATGGACGACTCGGTTCTCGTCGACTCGTCCAGGCGCGCTCGGCGGCTGTTGGTGCGCGCGCGCGGCTTCTTGTCGGCACCACCCGTCGGAGCAGTGCTTGCGTGTTCTGTCGAAGGCAGGCCGACGAGCGAGCTCAACGGCGTCTGCTCCACCACTGCCGAGGGCATGGCAAACGGCTCAAACGACATGCCATCGGCAAAGAACTTGCGATCGTCCAGGCTGGTGTCCAAAGCGTCGGTGCCAAACGACGAGTCGCTGTCGGACGAGGTAAAGGTGGGCGACGAAAAGCCGGAGGTCGACGTCATTCCGCCCATGAGGCTGTTGCGGCGACCGAGGTATTCCAACGTGCCGCTGCCGTCCGTGAGCCCCTTGGCAAAGCTCGATGTTGCGAAGCCGACGGTGAGCGTGGAAGCGTCCAACGGCTGGGGCAACGCCGACATGCTCCAGTTCATCATCGAGGTCTGCTTGAACGGCGAGATGGGTTGTGCCAGATCGGGCAGGAGCGACAGGGGCGGGTGCTCGGCCGACATGGCAAGCGGCTCGCCCGTCTTGTGAAGCAGCTGGCCGATCCACAGATTGTCCTGCGAAGCAGGCACTCCAATCGGGTGAGACGACTGGATCTGGTACGGCATGGCAAGAGTCTGTGCAGCTTGCGCGACCGGCTCAGCAGCAGGTGCGGTCAAGGGCGCCGGGCTGTCTACGGCGTAATTGGAAGGAGTGGCGCTACGCGAACGGAGCATCTGCACTTCGTGCATGAGCTCGCGCACCCGCCTCTCCTGCTCCTGGTGCCTCGAGATGCTCGCCTTGACGATCTCGCCCTTGGTGGGGCGCTTGCCGGCCGCCATGGCTTCCACAAGCTCGGGAATGTTGGCGGCCAGTTCCGAAAACTTTTCGTTCATGGCTTCTCTGCGTTCCTTCTCGATGATGCTGTGCGTAGCTTTTGAAGAGGGCGAGAGCTCGGAGCGCTTGCGCCTCTTGCTGGTGCGCACGGGCGCGCCGTCGTTTGATGCAGGCGCGGGCGAGTCGTGATCCTCGACATCGTTGTCAACCGAAGCGCGTCGGTCGGCAGCGGGGCCGGGAGAGCGGCCGCGCGAGTGTTCGGCCTTGATGGCAGCCATGGTTGATGGGCGATCGAGTTGGTCTTGCGAGAGAGGACGGCACGAAAAGAGAAAAGGAAAGGCTTGCGGATCGTCGTGAAGGTTCGTGGCTCCAAGGGTAGACTTGAGCGATTGGTATCTTTATGAGGCGAGGGAGATTCGCGGGGGGGTATGACGGAGTCGGAAAGTGTGGAATGAAGTGGACCCGGTGGCGTGTGGGAGCGATTGGAAGCCCCTACGTAGCGATGTGATGCAAAATGAAGGTGACAGATGTCGATGAGCGTGCAAGTGCACAAATGAAGTCGTGAGGGTGGATGGTGGCCTTTCTAAAGAGAGAGAGGCTGTCCGAGTTGATGCAGGTATATGTGCGGGATAGGAGACAGACAAGTGGCGCAGATGAAGTGGTGCGGCAATGGAATCTGGAAGGAGCCAAGAGACAAAAGCCAGAGGAAAGTGGGAAGGTTCAAGGAGGAGGTGAAGAAAGAAAGACAACGCCGACGACGAAGACGGACGCTAGAAGAAAGGCACGTCTGGACGCGAAACCAACAGATGGGGTGTCTGGGCGAGTGAGGTGGCGGGAGGTTTGAAAGATATGGGCCGACGACGATGTTCCTTTGAAGGCGTAGCTCAAGGTGGCATGGGAAGGGCACAGGGGAGAAAGGCTGCCGATTGTACTGGAGAGAGTCCGGTGGCGGGGCTCGCTGCAGGCTCCGACGGCGGAGGGGCCGACTGAATGCTCAGACGTCTCAGGCACCATAGAGCGACAAAGGCAGGGCGAGCGAGCGAATACGCAGCATACGCCATGGTCTAGATGAGAGGCTCGAGTGTTGCAGTGTTGGACTGTTGGCCTGGGGCAGCCGACGAGAGCAACACTCAGCTGCAGGCCGCAGCTCGCAGCCCGCAGCCCGCAGCCCGCAGCAGCAACGGTGCGGTTTTCTGGCCAGGCGGAGCTCGCGAAGAAAAGGTGCGGTGGGCGCGTGCCGACGGACAGCGGTTGGGCCACCTCCCTTTGATGCCAAGGGTGGGTGGCGAGCTCAGAGGCTCGGCGGTCAGAGAGGGAAAGAGGAGGCCCACCTCGGTTGGCAGGCGCTGCAGACCTTGCATCTGACGCATAGTGGACGTATCTCTGGAGCGCTGGAGCGCCTGAGGCGTGGCAGAAGCAAGGGCGGAGCTAGTGCCTCGTGTCGCGAACGCCATCAAAGGGGGGAAAAGCGCTTGGGCCCGAATCATGAGGCTTGAGCACCTGCCCGGTGATGCGGTGGCAGCGCAAGAGAGCTGCATGCTTCGGCGCGGAGGGCCCGTCAAGGAGCGGAGTGGTACGCTCGTTGGCCCGACAACTCTGAGCTCCGCGACCGGGCTGTCGGCTGCACTGAGGCTGCAGATCCTATTGTAGGGCGGAGCAGAAGAAACTCATGCGCGCGGTCGCTTATCTTTCTGTCCATCTTTGCGGCGACACTCCCGACTCAGTCAACTCGACTGCTGTTGCTGCCTCTTGCCACACTCTAGGCATGCAACGACGCCTTCGCTTTCTAGTTTTCTAGTCCGGACAGAAAGCCGACGTCGGCTTGAGCCTCCTGTGGTTTGCCAATTCGGGCCAACCGAATTCTCACACGGCAAGCCACCCTTGCTTTTTTTTTT